TATTTTTGATGTTTCATCATCTTTTAAGTGGTAATTGATAATTTTTACAGAAATGCAATCCGAAAAAAATTAAATTTTCGATTGTTGCTGCGCCAAATATCCTAGAGATCGCTACGAAGAAACTTTAAGGTCCCTGAATAGTGTGGAATTGCGTGAAAAGGGGGACGAACGGGGAAAAGGTGTTAATTAGCGCTGAAAAACGACATGTATATGTACAAACTGGCGTACTTAGTTTTTGTGGGCAGACGTCGGGTCGTTAGTTTTATCCCACTAAATACAGGGAACAAATATTAATTTTCTTAAAAAAACACACATAAATTGGAAATTAAACACAGGTCGAACACTAAGATTACACATAAATGTACTATACACACTAAATATTACATACCTTGATCTTTCATTTCCATAATTTACTTAATTTAGTCGGGACAAAGAAGTTTTATTTTTTTGCACAAACGTAAATAAATTATTATGGCGCCAATTTCTTAGTCCTAAGCAGCTGATCGATTGTGTACTTTTGAAAGCTCATAAAAAGCGTTAGTGTAGCTTTTAAAGCTTTTTTTTAAGTTTGTATATGTATGATCTATTAACTTTAAGAATTTAAAATAAAAAATACAAAACATTACCATAAAAATTTCGACTTTATGCCAAAAAATCGGCCGCTCGGACCATAGTGCATTGCTCTGATTTAAACTAGCCACATCTGACTGCGACACTGAAATAAGCTAAATCCACCACATCTACACGTCATTGTATCATTTCGTTTCGAAATTGTAATAGTCGGAACGCAGCATTAAAAGTCATTGGAAATTAGCCGTTCTCATGTTTGTTTTGTAAAGTTACCTTTGCATTGCAATTTTCTGAAATGCACAAAACAATTTGACTTTGCGCCACAGACATGGCCGAAAAAGAAAATGTAAACGAGAAAGTGTCGCCAACAATATTTAATGGCAAATTTTTTAACCCGGACGGCAAGTGCGTGTTGTGTGTTAATAAAACAATAAAATTCGATGATAAATCGACAGGAAATCTGCACACACAGCCTATGCCTATTTTTATGTGTGAGATATGTACATATTTGAGAATGAAAACTAATCGCGGTTTTATTTTATATAATTTTGTGCACTAATGTATGTGATGGGAAATCACTACATCAATTTATTTATGAATCCAAAGTGTATTTGGCGCGCAAAAATGCCGTATGTACGTAAACAAACGGCATATACATATGCACAATATACATATAGTCAATGTTTCTACATACGGAACTTTTGCGCGCCAAATATGTACATGAGGGTTTCATAAATATATTAATGAAGTGATACGTGCATACAATTATTCATGCCGCGTGTTTTTAAAATATATAGACAAAATTATTTAAGCTTATATTTATAAATAATTGGATTTAATTTCAACAACTTTAGAGGGTTCATCCAAGCAGTTACACGGACTACGAGGCCATGAAAGCTAAGACAAATATGGAACTTTGTAAGGAAAATTAAAAATCGTTTTTTCGGTTCCTTGAGCTCAGCTTTTATAAAAAATAAAAAAACAATATATTTACCTTTTACCTTTACCTAGGTACTGGGAAATTGAAGTACCTTTACCTTGCCTAGGTATTTATTTTTGCCCAATACCTTTTACCTTACCTAGGTACAAAAACACAGTACCTTTCCCAACACTGCAAAAATCGGACGACTATATTATAACGCTGCCTAGGGAAGGATAGAAAAAATAGTGTCAAAATAATACAACATTTAAAATTTTTGCGATTCGATGATCTGCAAGGGTATATAAGCTTTGGCTGGCCGAAGCTAGCTTCCTTTACTTGTTTTTAAGCTTTTTTTTGTTTTGATATACTTTATAGGGTCGGTCCTTTGCTGCCTTGCCAACTTCTGACTAATCATAACAACATAAAGGGCATAGCAGACTTACCTATGGAAAACGGCCCCCAGCGATTTTTAAAAATTTTGAATCAGCGATGGTAGATAATTAGAAGGAGAATATGGAAACCAATTTTCAAAGCTATTGGACATTTGGCTGAGGAGTAATCGTCTGCAATCCAAAAACGTATTTAAGCTTATATCTGACCAACGGAAACGCTTAACTGAAAACTAGTGATGAGAAATCAAAGGGATAAGAAATAGGTCCTCGCTAAAGAAGCTTGGCATTTTTAAGCCTTTTTAAAAGTGCAGAAAACCGCGATTAAAATTTTCAAAAAAAATTTTGACCACTTTCAAGTTTTGGCAACCTCACCAATTTTTTACAGCTCCTTTGTCTTTTAACCATTGAATTAATAAAAAAAAATCATAATTTTATAGGTGGTGCAACAGTGTCAAAGAAAGGAAAAACTAGATTTCAAGTAGTTTTGTGGGACGTTTTCTACAACCCGGCCACCCCAGTTTTTTTTTTTAAGTTTTTGAAGTGCACAGTACCAACTTGATTGCAAAGCACATTGCTTCCAATATTTATTCTTACACCTATTTTGGCACTATAATCACTCTTTTGCCGTATTTTGGCGTTAGAAAGAAAACACGAAATCAATTTTATCTTTCAAGCAGAAAGCACGATTTGCATAATTCAAAAGCAGAAATAGCTGTCTTTTCATGGCCGATTACGAGATAAAAAAATAATGCTTTCAGACCATAGATGTCCATATTTGTTCAGACCATTTTTTAAGTCCAAAAGTAGGATTTCGGCCAATAGGTAAGTTTGAAAAATACCATTCTATCCCAATTCACTGTTTTTAATGTGGGATCTCCGTTGAGGAATTCGCTATGAATTCTTTTCATTGACCTATTACTTTTTTCCAAAGCATATACAATTTTGTGTATTACATATTAAAAATTACTATTTTTGACAGTTAAGTAATACAAAAACGAACTAAAGAATTCACACAGTAAATTGGGTTCTCTTTTGCGAAAAATAGAATGGTATTATTTCAAACTTGCCCATTGGCCGAAAGCCTACTTTTGGACTTAAAAAATGGTATCGCTGGGTCATCAATGGTCTGAAAGCATTATTTTTATACCCTTGCAGAGGGTATTATGATTTCAGTCAGAAGTTTGCAACGCAGTGAAGGAGACGTTTCCGACCCCATAAAGTATATATATTCTTGATCAGCATCACAAGACGAGTCGATATAGCCATGTCCGTCTGTCCGTCCGTCTGTCCATCTGTCCGTCTGTCCGTCTGTCCGTCTGTCCGTCTGTCTGTTTCTACGCAAACTAGTCTCTCAGTTTTTGAGCTATCGGGACAAAACTTTCGCAAAAGTCTTCTTTCTATTGCAGGTAGTATATATGTCGGAGCCGACCGGATCGGACAACTATATCTTATAGCTCCCATAGGAACAATCGGAAAAAAAAACTTTAAAAAATTCTAGCTTCGGTGTTTTTTGAAATATTACCTTCTACTTTTGGGGATGTTATTTTTTAAATATTTCTGAATTTCGAATTAATTATTTAAAAAATCGGACTACTATATCATATAGCTGCCATAGGAACGATCGGAAAAATAATGGAAAAGTAATAGGAAATAAATTCTAGCTTCTTTGGTTTTTATTGTATTATCTTCTACTCTAGGATATGACTCTTTTTAAATATTTTCGAATTTCAATTTTAATTTAATCAAAATCGGACGACTATATCATATAGCTGCCATAGGAACGATCGGAAAATTAATGGAAAAGTAATAGGAAATAAATTCTAGCTTCTTTGGTTTTTATTGTATTATCTTCTACTCTAGGATATGACTCTTTTTAAATATTTTCGAATTTCAATTTTAATTTAATCAAAATCGGACGACTATATCATATAGCTGCCATAGGAACGATCGGAAAATTAATGGAAAAGTAATAGGAAATAAATTCTAGCTTCTTTGGTTTTTATTGTATTATCTTCTACTCTAGGATATGACTCTTTTTAAATATTTCCGAATTTCAATTTTAATTTGATCAAAATCGGACGACTATATCATATAGCTGCCATAGGAACGATCGGAAAATTAATGAGAAATATTAGAAAATTGAACATTTTTGCGATTTGTTAATTAATAGGAATGATCTGCAAGGGTATATAAGCTTCGGCTGGCCGAAGCTAGCTTCCTTTCTTGTTTTATCTCGTAATCGGCCATGAAAAGACAGATATTTCTGCTTTTGAATTATGCAAATCGTGCTTTCTGCTTGAAAGATAAAATTGATTTCGTGTTTTCTTTCTAACGCCAAAATAAGGCAAAAGAGTGATGATAGTGCCAAAATAGGTGTAAGAATAAATATTGGAAGCAATGTGCTTTGCAATCAAGTTGGTACTGTGCACTTCAAAAACTTAAAAAAAAAAAACTGGGGTGGCCGGGTTGTAGAAAACGTCCCACAAAACTTCTTAAAATTTAGTTTTTCCTTTCTTTGACACTGTTGCACCACCTATAAAATTATGATTTTTTTTATTAATTCAATGGTTAAAAGACACAGGAGCTGTAAAAAATTGGTGAGGTTGCCAAAACTTGAAAGTGATCAAAATTTTTTTTCCAAATTTTAATCGCGTTTTTCTGCACTTTTAAAAAGTCTTAAAAATTCCAAGCTTCTTTAGCGAGGACCTATTTCTAATCCCTTTGATTTCTCATCACTAATTTTCAGTTAAGCGTTTCCGTTGGTCAGATATAAGCTTAAATACGTTTTTGGATTGCAGACGATTACTCCTCAGCCAAATGTCCAATAGCTTTGAAAATTGGTTTCCATATTCTCCTTCTAATTATCTACCATCGCTGATTCAAAATTTTTAAAAATCGCTGGGGGCCGTTTTCCCTAGGTAAGTCTGCTATGCCCTTTACCATGCAATTATCTATTTGCTCGTAATTTTTTTTTGCGCGAAAATATCTTTTCTAACTTGCAACATTTAATTGAAGTTGGGCTGTGCTTTATTTTTGTGCTCAAAAATGTTGGTAAAAAAGCTGTTTTTAAAGTGTATTTAAACTGATTGCTTTAAATGTAGACACGAATCTTTCAATCACCCGTCCTCTTCAGTTTTCGCAAGTTTATCAGCTATATTCATTTGCTTTACGAGAGTAAACACGGAGAACGAAAACTTGGTGACCTGCAATGATACCAATTAATGCCGAATACAGTTGGTTGCACCGCTTCAGCTCTTACACTGATATTAGTTCCCACAGATATTGGAAATACGTTCATGGCCATGAATGTTATCGGTTGCTGTAGTTTCTGCAGGAAGTACATAAGAGTATTTTGATAGCGCTTCTCCCCATCGATCCAATTTGACTGAAAAAGGGCATCTGACAGCTTGTAGCAGTCTTCTGTAAGATAGTTGCACAGTATACAAAAGGGCGTCGTCTCCAGGAGCACAGCGGCCATGAAAGACAGCGCTGCTATGGCCGATCCCAAGTTAGCAAACAGAACAATGTTGATTAGGGTGAAGCCCAGGACCAGTCCCACTACCAAGAACTGCACGAAGATTGTTCCAGAAATCACAGGCCGCAGGCAGTCGACAAATCTGTAAATTAACGTTAAATTAAATGTAAATTTACATATTAGAAAATCGCCATAAAAAGGGGACATTCTCCCGTTACACAGTGCCGCCTTAGACTAAAGTAGAAGCAATAAATCAAATAACACTATGTAACATCAAAGATTTACCTCGATGGAAATCGTAATCGCTTTGATCTCACGGTATATATATATATATATATATATATATATATAAGAAATTTTTTAAATCTGACTATTTGTTAAAAAGTTATGGCTCATCAAAGTTTATATCTCCATCTCGCTATATATACAGTTGCGAAAAAAATAATAGCACCACTTCGTCACAGGTTCTTAATATTAAAGAAATATGTGGAAAACGGGGATTTTTATACAAGAAGTGTTTTTTATTATCTTGATTAGTATTCCACCTATTTGAAAAAATTGATACGGATATCGAAAATATTGTCTACATATAATTTTTTCAGATTTTAAGAAAAAAAGTCAAAAAAAGGCAGAAAAAAATAATAGCACCACTTCCGTTTTCTTTAAATAAAACGTTACGATGCGCTAATATTCATGTGTATAAAGGATATATTCTATGAGATTTGACTAAAACTAACTTTTCCTGATATCCAGACATCAAATTGATTACCATTTGGCAATACAAGGACATGTGGAAAATTTTCCAAGTCGGAAAAGAAAAATATTCAAAAAAGAAACATATTGGATGGAAAACGGTCATGAAAACCGGCTCAATTTGTTAGGTCTTGGATCATCTTTATTAAAAATGGCATAAACTTTTAAAGGATAACACAGAAAAAGCGAGTCCTGGCCCATTTTTCCTTCTAAAATGTTATATCACAAAGCACAAAGAATCTTATCAGGGCCAAAACTAAACTAAAACACGTGCTTAAAATAATGGCGAATATTTTAATAGTTGGATAATGCTTTAATAAGCAAATTTATAAAACATGCACTTTAAAAAAAAATCCTATCCGAAATGCGAAACACATTTACAAGGGCATAGGGCTCGTCAAAAAAACTTACAAATGAATGCCCGCAAACTTATGAGAATGTGTGAAGGCAAAGTTAAATTGGGTAAGAAGAAATCCTTTTTATAAGTTATGTGTCTTCTAAACACCTAAATTGACCAAAAACATGGTACCAAAACATCCATTTATTGAGCATGGACCTAGTATTAACATAGGCTTGTTTTTCCTTCTTGAAGTAAGATCAATACGGATGAATACATCGTTCATGAATCATCCTATGATGTAAATAGTAATACGGTAGTAATTCGTAGCTTAAACTGAATACATAATACTTCTTAAATGAATCTTTGACCAATAAAATCCGGCCAGGATCACGGTCAGGATAGCAAAGAAAGAGTTCGAAAGTACTCAGTCAGCAATATACAGTGACTTGTGTACTCGCTTGACCATAACACAACCAAAAATCTTGGAGTTTTTTTTTTAAGACAGTTTATACAGTTAATCTAAAACGTCTTAAATCATTTCCGAACAAAATTTGAAAATATATCATGACTTTTGGGCCCCAATTCCTTTATAGGTAGGGTCCTGACTTGTTTAATCGATAGTAAGTCATTATATCCAAAAATCGCAAAAGATATTTACACTTTACACTTAGATTTACTTGTTAGCTACCGCCAACTAAAGATTAAGTTACCCATTTGTCATTTTTCTACCTTTTATTCTATTTTTAGAGAAGTGGTGCTATTATTTTTTTCGTACGTTTTTCCAGTTTTGCACGGATTTTCTTAAATAAGTCCAGAAACCTTTTATAAAGCTAACATTTTTTTCATATTCAAATTATGTTTAGTCTTACTATTTAAAACCCGTTTTGAAAAGTTAAAAAAGTTAAAAAATGTGAGTAGGGTGACTAGTTAAAATTTTTTTGGGTTAGTGGTGCTATTATTTTTTTCACAGCTGTATATATACCCGTTACTCAGCTGTAGGGAGTGCAAGCGAGATGGAGATATAAACTTTAATGAGCCATAATTTTTTAACAAATAGTCAGATTTAAAAAATTTCTTCTACATTGATAAGCACAACCAAACTGCATTTTTACTTTTCCGAAATATTTAAATTTTTAAAATCGTATATAAGCGATTGTGGGCGTTAGAGGGGGCGTGGCACCTTTTTGAAATAAACTTGCGCTGCGTAGGAACTTCTAGAATCTGCCTGCAAAATGCCAATCTTCTAGCTTTTATAGTTTCCGAAATCTCAGCGTTTATACAGACGGACAGACAGACAGACGGACATGGCAATATCGACTCGGCTAGTTTCACTTTCCCAAGCTCTATTTTTTGTAAAAATCTTGATTTTGTACCACTTTTAGTTTTTAAGATATCGGTAAAAAACTGCCGTATTCGCTCGGGACAAAAATAGAAGTGGATTTCGGGGAAGTTCATACAACACCAGAAATTAGCGAATTCTGATGAAATATTTGAATGCGATTTTTTTAGAATGTTGTTCAAACACGTCGCTGTAAAATGCTTTTGGTTTTACTCAAAAAAGTTTCAACCACATTCGCTCGGGACATGTCGCTCGGGACATTTTTTCCGACTGTTTTGTAAAGCGGATTTCTTTACCTCTATCTCTCAATTGCTGGATGTTTTGCTTTTAACTTAATAGTTTTCATGTGAATGAAGCATTCAGTACAGAAAAATGTCACATATTAGCATTCCTATAGGATAAATTAACAGCAGAAGACAGGTCCAAAAAATAACAAAAAAATAGCCAAAAACTAACTTTTGTGTATATTATTGGGGTTTGTCATAAAAATAATCAAACTATACTCCAAATGTTTAGTTTAGCTCAGGATTCAACTAATTAGAAACTAATATGGCGGCACAATCATGTGGAAATATGTTTTTTTCAAGTTTCAAGTTTTTTGGCTTGGTGGACCTTTTGCTGGAAGTGCCCATATATACTTTATAGGGTCGGAAATGCTTCCTTCTAGCTGTTACATACTTTTGCACGAATACAATATACCCTTTTACTCTACGAATAACGGGTATAATTAGCTCGTTCAAGCATGCTCAACTTTAAAATGCTACTTTGGATAATATGTATGGAGAAATATTTATTTTCCAATGTTTACTTGACCAAAATATTTTAAAACGTTAGTGTTTTTCAAATTATGTATTAAAAATTATTATATTATTAGAAATTTATTTACGCACTACGAAAGTAAATATAAGTGTGACCACCGCACATAAAGCGTTATAATACAATTGTATACCAGAAATACAACAAAAATACAACTTTACTTTTTCGAAGACTTTTCGATTACCCATTTGATATGAAAAACATATCAATCTTTGAAGTATTTATATTAATATGTTACGGATTCATATCAACATTGGTAATTGTTGATGATGATGATGATTTCGTATCGTATTGGTAATGCATTCGTATTATTTTAATATGGAAAAATTGATATGTAAAATTGAGGAGACAATATCAACCGGGTATTGTTCCGTGTTTTTCTCTGTGCAGTCACTCACCGCAGTATGACTTTGTGGTCTTGTATGCACATAACTAAACGCTCGTATCGTTGTTCCTGGCTCTCCCCAGGATCAGTGCCAAGACACCGAAGACGATCCGCAAATATAGACATATGTGCGCGCAGTACAAGTACAAAGTTTACGGGGTAACAATCCACACAGACGTCCTGAAAGCAGGCGCCAGCCATGGCGAAGTACTCCAGGCCGGCCTGCAGAGCGAGGTGCATCCTGCTGGACCGCCAGTCAAGGAACGGATAGTAATTTTGATACGGCGGCCTTCCTATAAAAATCGCTGAGAGGAACGTATTAGTGGCGTAAACCATGTAGACGGCCATGAAAAAGAAAAATATACGGTTGCTAAGCGAGACTGCGCGGTGAACCTGAAGTCGTTCGCTGGGCTCTGTGAGCCGCTTGTCCATCTCGTCGAGGATGGCGTTGGCCTCGTCAAAACGCTTGACCAGCGCCCACACAATAAGCACTTTAGTGGAGCAAGACCAAGCGTTAAAAGCCACCTGCAGCGAAGTGAGAAACTCGCCCGGCGAAAACTCAGACAGATGGCTGATGTAGCCCGTGAGAAAACCAATGGGCTGGTAAAAGGTGGAGCAGAAATTCAGGGCAAAAGACCAGAGGATGTAGGCTATGAAGAACTTCGCAGGTGGTTTGCGTACACCCATAAGAAAGATGCAGCGTAGCAAGTATAGAGTTGCGTCCCGTGAGCGAGCTGGGGAGTTCTCCGATTGGGTAAACAAGGCCGGAAAGATTCGTCGCAGCTCCATCGTATCGTGATGCGAACTTGAATTATTGAACTAATGGGTTAGCACAGTCCTTTTATATAGACGCCAGTGTCGTGATTATAAGCCCATCAATCGCCGGCTTAGGTAATTTATAAGGGACACTTGAAAACTCGATTGTTAAAATCAATTAGCGGGAGGGTAATAAAGTTTCCTAAATTGTGCCGTGCATATATTCTGGTACCCTTCTCTCTATTTCGTTGCCACAATGCACGGGCCTTATACAGTCCAAATGACCTACCAAAAATCGAATACCGATAGTCACCTAGTGCTTCTCAGAAGTGTAAAAGTTTACACTTACACGTAAATAAATGATGATACGCCCCCAACACAGAAAAACCCAACAGGCTGCAACCGTTCACAAGGAAAGGCATTACATGTCGGTTGGCTTCAGATTGAAGTTAACATCATAACTTAAGGATATTTGTTCGCTTAAGTGAATATAAAAAAGTAAACAACATTAAATATCAATTAAATATAAATTAAAAGCTAGCTAAAATAAATTATTTGTTCGAATTTATCTTTAAAGTCGCTTTTTGAAACATGCTCCAAATCCATTTTTATACCCAACTAGCTATACCCGGAGGGACTTCATTCGCTTAAAATTAGTTTGGAGTACAGTTGTCAGGACTTTCTTAATTCTTATTAGCACTTTTTTTGAAAACCTTTGAGTAAACAACCTATGTAAAAGATCCTTCAAGAGAGAGAATCGAAAAAAACTAGTGAATTCATGCGCGGATATGGGTGATATATAACCCCCCACTCGGGTGAAAAATGAAAAGAATTTTGGTACTCAAAAAGTAAGCAACAAAAAATTTGCTCTGATATCACCCCCACAACAAAATCCTAGATCCGCCACTGAGTGAATTTTTATACTTTCTATCAGTTACAATATTATCAATGCAATTTTAATTTTCACAAATGCAAACTTGTTATACCCTTGCAGAGGGTATTATGATTTCAGTCAGAAGTTTGCAACGCAGTGAAGGAGACGTTTCCGACCCCATAAAGTATATATATTCTTGATCAGCATCACTAGACGAGTCGATCTAGCCATGTCCGTCTGTCCGTCTGTCCGTCTGACCGTCTGTCCGTCTGTCCGTCTGTCTGTTTCTACGCAAACTAGTCTCTCAGTTTTTGAGCTATCGCGATGAAACTTTCCCAAAAGTCTTCTTTCTATTGCAGGTAGTATATATGTCGGAACCGACCGGATCGGACAACTATATCTTATAGCTCCCATAGGAAGGATCGGAAAAGAAAACGTTAAAAAAATTCTAGCTTCGGTGTTTTTTGAAATATCACCTTCTACTTTTGGGGATGTTATTTTTTAAATATTTCTGAATTTCGAATTAATTATTTAAAAAATCGGACTACTATATCATATAGCTGCCATAGGAACGATCGGGAAATTAATGGAAAAGTAATAGGAAATAAATTCTAGCTTCTTTGGTTTTTATTGTATTATCTTCTACTCTAGGATATGACTCTTTTTAAATATTTCCGAATTTCAATTTTAATTTGATCAAAATCGGACGACTATATCATATAGCTGCCATAGGAACGATCGGAAAATTAATGAAATTAATTGAACATTTTTGCGATTTGTTAATTTATAGGAATGATCTGCAAGGGTATATAAGCTTCGGCTGGCCGAAGCTAGCTTCCTTTCTTGTTTGGATTTGTTGTTCTTAAATTTCTTGTTTTTAAATTTGTTGTTTTCAATGAAACGAAAACATTTGTACACGCACGAAAAGATTGGCATCCCATTCAAAAGTAGCGAAGTAACTAATTATTTTCCGATTCCACATTTGATTGATAATTATTAAACCCGATACTCGTAGAGTAAAATGTAGAGCTTGAAAATTATCGATAAATTATAAAATCGAAATTTTAGATACTTTATAATTATCGTATCGATAATATCGATGTTTTCAAGGAAAGCAAAGACAAATTAAAAACAATTTTATAATTCTGTTAATACCACGTATTATTATTATCCACATTCATAATACACTTGCATTATTATTAATTATTAATATTATTTATTTAAAATTAAAATTTAAACATTAGTAGGGGCGAACTGCTGGAAGTGTGGCTGAAGAATAATCGCAGCTTTGTCGATACCGTTCACTGGATGTGCGAAAGGTTCAAAAATAAAACAAGAGAGAACGCTATAGTCGGGTGCCCCGACTATCAGATACCCGTTACTCAGCTAAAGGGAGGGAGGGAGATGGAGATAAAACTTTGATCACGCATTTAACGAATGGTCCGATTTGAAAAATTTCTTGTACATTTCGATAGGTATTGATAAACACAATAAAACTGCATTTTTACTTTTCCGAAATATTTAAATTTTATAAATTCGTTTATAGCGGTGGTGGGCGTTAGAGGGGGCGTGGCCCTCGGCTGAAACAAACTTGCGCTGCGTAGGAACTCTAAGAATCTGCATGCAAAATGCCAATCTTCTAGTTTATAGTTTCCGAGATCTCAGCGTTCATACGGACAGACAGACGGACAGACAGACAGACGGACATGGCTATATCGACTCGGCTATTGACCCTGATCAAGAATATATATACTTTATAGGGTCGGAAACGTCTCCTTCACTGCGTTGCAAACATCTGACTGACATTATAATACCCTCTACAAGGGTATAAAAACGTAAAAAAATTCTAGCTAGACTAGTTTGCGTAGAAACGGACGGACCGACGCACAGTGGCGCCTTTTGACTTTTTTTTGGTAATAAATCATAACTTTTGAACCAGTGAAGATAATTTAATGATGTAAACGGCAAATGATAGATAATTGATCCACCTTTCAAATTATTGCTTGAGACAGGGAGTGGGCGTGGCAGAGGCGTACTTACAAATCGGCAAAGTCAAAATTTAAAAACAAATCCATTTTTTTCCGAAAAAAAAAAATTTTTTTTTTAATGTTGTTTTGTTTTGTTTCTTCTTTTATGTTTTAATTTTTAAAAACTAAACAAAAAAAAAAAAAAGTTGAAGTTTTTTTTTAAAATACAAATTTTTATACTTCCTGTTTTTTGAAATAATGGTCATAATTTGGTAAACTTGGTAAATCCAACAGACATAACATTTCTGGACTATAATTACTAGATTCTAACTCTGTGACAAGGTTGTGATTCCATGACCCTGGAATACAGTTTGGATTCGCACATACTAAATTCAATGCTTAGGCAGCGTAAGTTGTTTTGAGCTGGCAAAAGTTGCTATTTTCGTTTCTGAATAACTTTTAATAACTTGAATAACATGATACATACCAAAATTTAAGGAATCTCAAGGGCTAAACAGTTTGAAGTTTTAAAGGAAATCGTTAGAGCCGTTTTTGAGAAAAATAACAGAAACTACAAAAAAGTTTTAAAAAAAGGTGTTTTTTGCATATCTTTTTAAATATTACAGTTACACAAATTACATATAGGAGACGCTTAAAGCATTTTGAAATACCTTTTAAACAAGAAAAACAAGTCTGTAGCTTCACTAGTTTAGAAGTTAAGGCCTTCCGTATTTTAGCTGTTTTCCCGCTAAACTAGCGGGTTTTTCCAAAAGTGGTAAAACTAAAGTTTCTTATATCGAGCTGTTGAACATCATATCAAATTTTCATGACTTTAAAACCATGTTTTGGACAAATCTTTCACAAGGTTGCGCCATATGCAATTTCTTGGACCATGACTTTTTTCCCTTTTTTGGCCTTTAAAACCGCGGACGCAGGCGGACGCAGCTACAATTTTCGTAATATCAAGAAGAAAGTCCAAATAACGTTTTACGGAAGTATAAAAAAAATAGTATTAAATAGTTTTTTTATTTTCCATCAAAGTTGAAAAATATGGAAAAAATGGACGTTTCGCAAATAACGCATAACTAAGAGATTCGGATGGCAAACTGCAATATGTTATACTTTTTTTTACTCTTAACAATCCGTGGGAAAAAAAAGCAAAGCGATTCGATGCCTAGTTTTTAAGAAAAACCCCCCGGAAGTGCGAAAAATTACCTAAAAACGGTGTGTTTTTTTTTAAGTGAAAAATTGTTAAACTTTGAAAGGGCATATCTTTTACAAAAATTTTTTGATTTGAGAAAGGGTTACATATTTGTAATAGTGGATCAATTACCTGTCGATTGGTATGGGTCGCAACTTTCTAGGACAAAGTCGAAAAAGTGATTTATTGCACGTTTTTTGGCCTAAGGCGCCACTGTGCGACGGACAGACGGACATGACTATATCGACTCGTCTAGTGATGCTGATCAAGAATATATATACTTTATGGGGTCTCCTTCACTGCGTTGCCAACTTCTGGCTGAAATCATAATACCCTCTGCAAGGGTATAAAAATATTCCCAAGAGTAGAAGGTAATATTTCAAAAAACACCGGAGCTAGAATTTTTCTCGTTTTTTATACCCTTGCAGAGGATATTATGATTTCAGTCAGATGTTTGCAACGCAGTGAAGGAGACGTTTCCGACCATAAAGTATATATATTCTTGATCAGCATCACTAGACGAGTCGATCTAGCCATGTCCGTCTGTCCGTCCGTTTCTACGCAAACTAGTCTCTCAGTTTTCAAGCTATCGGGATAAAACTTTCCCAAAAGTCTTCTTTCTATTGCAGGTAGTATTTAAGTCGGAATGAGCCGGATCGGACAACGATATCATATAGCTCTCATAGGAACAATCGGGAAAAATAATGTAACAAATTATATCTTGGGTGTTTTTGAACCTATAACATCCTACTTTTGGAAATGTCATTTTTTATCTAGTTCTGAATTTCTAATAAAATTTTTTCAAAATCGGACGACTATATCATATAGCTGCCATAGGAACGATCGGAAAATTAATGGGAATATAACAGGAAATAAATTATTGCTTCGTTGGTTTTTATTGTATTCTCTTCTACTTTAGGATATAACTCTTTTCAAATATTTTCGAATTTCGATTTTAATTTTATCAAAATCGAACTACTTTATCATATAG